TCGGTCATTTTTAGGGTCTGGCTCATCATAGTTGATAGTCACAATGTCTTCTTCCTTTGTTCCTCCTCCTTTTTTTATCACATCGGTCACAGCTTCCTTAAGCACACCATACAACTTTTGAAAATCATCGTTTTTAAGGGCAGACATTTCAATGAACTTCATTTCATTTCGCTCAGCAAATTGCTTGCTAGTTGATAAAGGATTAACCCTCTCATCAGCCAGATCAGACTTGTTACCAATCAGAATCATCTCAATGTTACCCTCTCTGTTAGTAGCCATCTCTTTCATCCATATCTCTCTAATGTGGTGGAATGAATCACCATCAGTGATGCTGAAAACAAGGAAAGCAATGTCTGCATATCTATAGTACTGTCTTGTGAACGTCCTAAACCTTTCCTGACCAGCTGTATCATGAACATAGAGCTAAGAATGATAAACAATACCATCATAAATGAATAAATCTTAGTTCTAACCTTTACTGTCTCATGTGGTGGTCCAATGACAATGTTTCTTTCTATTGTCTGAGCATCAATTGTGACTACAGGAGACTGGAAGACTTCATGATTTTCAAATAATTTGAATATTGATGTCTTCCCAACACCATGCAGAGTCACCAATAAAAATTATTTGGAGCTGTTTTCCTGCAACGATTGAGGCCATGGCTTTAAAGGTTTAAGGGCAGGCAGCTTTGATAAAAAGCTAGCCACTCCTTTGCTACAGCTTTCAACTTCCATATAAGGCTGCATAGACATTCTTCTTTAATAATGCGTGGGCGTTGAAGTAGGAGCTAAAAATGCAAATACAGTTTAAAGCAGTGATGCACCTCAGTGGTATTTTGTGCTTAAATTATTTAAGGGATAACTCAGAATGGACAATATAAAAGTATATAAAAGTAATTGTATAAGTAGTCTTCAACAAAAACACCGACTTCCTGTTGCTGTTAAGAGTTGATCCTTTCATTGTAAAAATTATCCTTGTTGCCAATGAGAATCATCATCACATCCTTTTCAGTGTTATGGTTCAAAGCTCCAAAACTGCTCAATGCCAGAATGAAGTCTATAATTATAGTATACAAAGGTATCGTTACTGATACTCAGTAAAATAGTTTTAAATTTAAAAAATTATAGTAATAATGGTCATAAAGCACACTGCATATTAATATAAAATGCAAAATTTTAAAACTTGAGCAGCAGACCAAAAGTTTGGTTCATCCTCTTGCATCAGTCATTGAAACCAATTAACATTTCGAGCAGGAACTCCTTTCTTGATTTGTAGCATTACCCTGATGTAGCGTTACACTACTATTGGTTCTGGTTCCTCCTCCTTCTGCTATCACTTTGCCCACAACCTCTTTAAGAATGTCATCAATTTTTTCAAAATCTTCCTCAGGGGCATATCTAGGAATTGGGGAAGGGGGGTGCTGAGGGCGCGCGAAGCGCGCCATGATTTTGGCCACACCCACTTTTAAGGCGGTAAAACAGCCTTTTCCTGCATTTTCGTCAATTACGGGTGGGGCCAAGATCTTTTCAAGCATACTGCTATTATACTGGTACTTCTGATTGCTCCTTAAGCCCACCATCCACT